CAGCAGCAGCAGCAGCAGCAGCAGCAGCAGCAGCAGCAGCAGCAGCAGCAGCAGCAGCAGCTGCTGCTGCAGCAGCTGCAGCAGCAGCTGCTGCAGCAACCATAAAACTTGACGCGAAGGCCGCGGTATCAGCGCAAACAGCTCAAGCTGCAGCAGCAGCTGAAGCAGCAACAGAGGCAGCAACAGCAGCAGCAGCAGCAGCAGCAGCAGCAGAATGCTGTGAATTAGTCAATTGCCCGCAGCGGCAGCAGGCGCAGCTGCCGAGCAAAGCAGCAGCAACGGGTGCTGCTGCTGCTGCTACAACATTGCTGCTGCTGAGCCTACAATGTTGCTGCTGCTGCAGCGACTACGTTGCTGCTGCTGTTGCTGCGCCTACTATGTTGCTGCTGCTGAGCCTAGAATGTTGCTGCTGCTGCTGCTGCTGCTGTCAGTCCGAGTTAGTATAGTGGCTAGTATTTCCGCCTGTCACGCGGAAGACCCGGGTTCAATTCCCGGACTCGGAGCTTTTTCCTCTTGGTGTTGCTGCGCTTCTAGCCGCTGCTGCAGCAGCAGCAGCAGCAGCAGCAGCGGCAGCAGCAGCAGCAGCAGCAGCGCTGCTGCTGCTGCTCCAGCGGATGAGGAACGTTTTGCCTGTCGCCTCTTCAAGGAGGCGCATTCTCACTTTTTAGCCGCATGGGGTCTCGCCTAAAAGGATATATTTCAGTGCAGTATTGGGCATTAGGGTTTAGGGTTTAGGGTTTAGGGTTTAGGGTTGAGGGTACAGGGTTTGGACCTTCTGCGGCGCCGTGGGGGCCCCCTTGGGGGCCCCCGTTGCCGCTAGCGCGCTGCAGCCGTGTGCAGCAAAAGATGCTTCAAATGCCATATTTGTTGAGGGGTAAAAAGAGAAAAAGTCGTTTTTGTTCAGGTTTATTTTATCTGCTATTCAGGTGTATAGGCAGCTCAGGTTGTGCGCGCCTCGTGCTGCATGCAGTGCGTGAGCTGCAGCAGCAGCAGCAGAAACAACGGCGGTATCCGCTGCTGCTGCTGCTGCAGCAAGCAGCAGCAGCTTCTCTACAAGACATAGAGCAGCAGCTGCGGCGGCGGCGGCAGCACCGCCTCCCTTAGCAGCAGCAGCGGTTGCAGCCGCGGCAGCTGCGCAGCTGCAGCAGCAGCAGCAGCAGCAGCAGCAGCAACAACGATAGCAGTTCTTATCTCTTGTGGACCCAGAGACTACGGCAGTGTTGGCCGCAGTCTACTGCAGCAGAAGCAGCAGCAGCAGTAGCAGCAGCTGCAGCAACAGCAGCAGCAACAGTGTATCAGCAAGAGTAGCAGCAGTAGCAGCAGCTGCTGCAGCAGGCAGAGGGCAGCATCAGGTTCCCAAATAGCAGGCGCAGCGCAGCAAGCAAGCGCGCCTGTAGCGGTGGCAGCAATTGCTGCAGCAGCAGCAGCAGCAGCAGCAGCAGCAGCAGCAAATGCTGCAGCAGCGCACTGCCGCTGTAGCGGCGGCCACTGACAATAGCCGACACTAAATGGTGTCTAGTCCCCCACAAGGGTCGGGGGGCCCCCAGGGGGGCCCCCCAGGGGGGCCCCCAGGAGACCCAGCTCAGGGTAATCCGACGTGGCCCCCTTCTACTGCACTATCGGTTTCTCCGACGTTGTCTGAGTTGCCTGCTGCTGCTGCTGCTGCTGCTGCTGCAGCAGCAGCAGGGCAAGTGGCAGCGCCGACGCCGACAACAGCAGCAGCAACCGCAATAGCAGCAACGCCAGCAGCAGCAGCGGGATCCGTGGGCCCGTACACTGGCGCCGATTGCCCTGAAGAAGGGCAGCAGCAGCAGCAGCAGCAGCAGCAGCCGCAGCAGCAGCAGCAGCAGCAGCAGCAGCAGCAGCAGCAGCATGCTGCAGCAGGAGCAGCACTGGGGGCCCGTCGCCTCGAAAGAGGGTCTCAGTCGCTGGAGGTGAGTTTTGCGCCGTGTTCCGCGGACTCGGGCCGCGGAGTGGCTCCCGCAGCAGCAGCAGCAGCAGCAGCAGCAGCAGCAGGAGCAGCAGCAGCAGGAGGGTCGAACGGGGTGGAGGCTGGCGCTGCTGCTGCGGGGGAGCGCGGGGCGAAGAAGGGGAAGAGGGGAGCTGCTGCTGCTGCTGCTGCAGGCGGGTGGGAGCCGGGGCGCCCCTGCAGCAGCAGCAGCAGCAGCAGCAGCAGCAGGGGGCAGTTTGGGGGCGTGCTGCTGGTGCGGCGGCGGCTGCGGCTGCTGCTGCGGCTGCTGGAGCGGGCCTGCTGCGCTGCTGTTGCTGCAGTGGTCCTCCTGACCACTGGTCTGGACCTCCACCGCAACACCACTGACCTTTATTTGCTGCCAGCAGCAGGACTTTACTGCCTCATGCTGCTGCTGGCCCACATCGCTCTCCGCGTCCCCAAGTGGCGCAGACAGCTCAAGTCTTACTGCCACGGTGTACAGACACTCCGCTCTTCTTTCTTGTTTCATTTCTTTCTTTTCTTTTTCCGCTTTTGCTGCTCCTTTGCTGCTCTTTTGCTGCTCCTTTGCTGCTCTTTTGCTGCTCCTTTGCTGCTCCTTTGCTGCTCTTTTGCGGCTCCTTTGCTGCTCCTTTGCTGCTCTTTTGCTGCTCCTTTGCTGCTCTTTTGCTGCTCCTTTGCTGCTCCTTTGCTGCTCTTTTGCTGCTCCTTTGCTGCTCCTTTGCTGCTCTTTTGCTGCTCTTTTGCTGCTCTTTTGCTGCTCCTTTGCTGCTCCTTTGCTGCTCTTTTGCTGCTCCTTTGCTGCTCCTTTGCTGCTCTTTTGCTG